CAATATAATTTTTTTTTTTAAGTTATTCGAATTGCCAATTGGTGTATGATAGCAAGAGTAAGTGTTTTCCTAAAATTAAAATTTTATTTCTCTTTGCCTAACACATATTTTATATAATTTTTGTATTCCAAAATAAATCAGCGTGTGTAAAGTCTAATGTAGATTCGAATGTGACTGTGAATGTGTGAGTAAATATATTTCAATTTGATAGAAATATTTTTGCTACATAAATATTTCTCTTTTCGAGTAGGGATGGCGTGCCGCTTAGCACACAGAGTAAGTTATTTTCTAAAATTAACGAAATTTTAGTTCTATGTAGTTTGGTTAAAATATATTCTATATGCTTAATTGTTTACTCAATGAAAGTTTAGCTCAATTTAATTTACTACGCCAAATCCGGAATTTATAAAGAATCATTTTTTTCCGTTTTCATAACCTAAAGGCTAAGTTGAAAGAAAAATTTTTTTTTCTGCGAGTGCGAAAGGGACGGCTGGTGTGACATGAAATGAATGCAAAAAAGACAGGTAGAGTGTGCGCGTGTGTGTAAGAGAGAGTAAGAGTTTTACCATTTTAACTATTCTTGGCTGTCACTCGTCCGATTTAACGGTCCTTCGTTCTGTTAAGCGACTTGCGCAACACTTCGAAAATTTAGTTCAATTAAATTTACTACGCTAAGCCCGGAATTTATGAAGAATATTTTTTTTTTCCTTTTTCATAACCTAAAAGCTAAGTTGAAAGGAAAAAATTATTTTTTCTGCGAGTGCGAAAAGGACGGCAGGTGCAAAAAAGTCAGCTAGTGTGTGTAAGTGAGAGTAAGTGTTCTCCCATTTTAACTATTTTTGGCTGTCGCTCGTCCGCCATAACGGTGCTTCGTGTTGCTTCGTGTAAGTGACTTGCGCAACTCTTCCATCAGGCTACTCCAAAACGGCTCGATTAGGCACTCGCAGGCTAGATTCGCCCTTCGTCTGTTCCGACAGCATTAGCAAATTTTTCAAATTAAAAATTTTGCATTTAAAAATAGTTGTACAACTGTCATCGAGCACTGACATATGTCAGGTTGACATATCCTCGATATGATAAGTGAGTTTAGGTGAGTTTCACAAATCATCCTGCCTCATTCGTTGCGAGTACGTCAAAGCGAAAGCATCAAAAAAGAAATAAAATATTTTTTCGAAGTTTTTCATTCATTTTTTTTTTTTTTTTCAAAAATAAATAAGTGAATAATAATGTCTGATATAGAAGAGAAAGTGAATCTAACTTTGAATGTGTGAGTAAATTAGTTTCAAGTTAATTGAAATATTGTTACTATATAACATTACTTTTCAATTTTTATGAATTCCGAATTGGTGTACAATAGCCAGAGTAAGTTGTTTCCTAAAATTTATTTGAATTTTATTTCTCAGTAGTTTGCTTAATACATATTTAATATTCTTCTTTTATTCCAAAATAAATAAGCGAATGGAGGAGGGTTTGTCACTGTGAGTGTGTGAGTAAATTTATTTCAAGTTAATTGAAATATTATTTGTTGCTACATACATTTTTCTTTTTTTGATTAGGGATCATACTAGAGGCAAGCCGGATACTATCCATGGTAAGTTATTTTCTAAAATTAATGAAATTTTCGTTCTAAGTAAATTGTTTGAAACATATTTTACATTCTTATTTATTTGTTTATGGAAAACTTAATAGAAAGTGTAGTTTAATTTAGTTGACTACGATAATACATTATAAAGAGGGAATTATATTTTTTTGTCATAACCTAAAACCTTAGAAGAAATTCTGTTTTAATATTTTATTTTTTATTTTTTATTTGATGGTTAATGGTTTTCACGTACTCAGACAATTTATACTCTTAAGAACTAGGAACGTGGTTTCACGTTTCATCAACTTAAGCTAATCGCTTTAAAACTGTTATTCATTTCAATTACTACTCCGAATTCGATACTGCACTTTTTTCTCTTTGTTATTTTTGTTTTGTTGTTATTTGTCGTCAAATATCTCGTATTGAACTACAAGTCCCGTTCTCCTATTCCTCGCCATAGAAAACGCTGCGAGTGCGAGGGGGACAGCAGGTGTGACATGAAACGAATTGAAAAGCGACAGTTAGTGACACACTAGTAAGAGGGAGAGGGGCGGGGACAGGGACAGGGACAGCTAGAACTTTCTCGTCTTACCGATTTTTCGCTGCAGCTCGCTTCGAGGAACGCTCGATTCGATTGTGTAAGTTGGAGCGTGGAATTGTCTCATTGACCAAGCGCTTCGTTTTCTTCGGCGATTCTCGCAACTGTTTCGCATCCACGTTGCGTTCCTCGTTCAGTCTCCTCTTGTACTTTTCGATTAGGCCTTCGCAGGATAGATTCGATTCAGGCTCCCAGGTGTCCTCCTTGGCACCGAAGCCCTTCCAGCGTATGCGATAGAGAACGCCGTGCTCATCGTCATGGACTGAGTCTAATATGCGTTCCACTGCCCACTCCTTATCCGGATCGTTGGATACAGTCTTGCTGCTCGCCTTTCGGCCGCGTACACCCTTTGCCGCTGCCGGCGACTTCTTACCAGCTCCGGCGCTCTTCTTGCTGTTCTGGAAATGAACTCTGAAAGTCAATGACATAAACATAAAGCATGGCCCAGGCATAGCTTTTACCTTTTTGCGATATTCCTCGATCAGGTCGTCGCAATTCAGCTCGGCCTCCGGCTCCCAGCTGTCGTCCTCCTTGCCGTAACCCTTCCAGCGCACCAGAAAAAACGACTCGCCGTTCTTCGACTTGTGGCCCACAATCGCCTCCACCTGTAATGCAAACGAATATAATAGTTCGCCTTATGGCAAGTATTGTAACCGTGTGCAAACCTCGAATTCCCTGTCAACATCATCATCGGCGTTGGCGATGTCATCGTCATTGTCATCATTATTGTCATCTAATACGGCTTTGGTTGATGATTTTTTGTTTTTATTCTTGTCAGCAGCCGCCGCCTGCAGCGCTGCTTTGCCCTTCGATTTGGGCGTCTTCTTTTGCTTCTTTCGGGGCGGTCCACTCGAGCTGGACGCTTTGCTGCCATTCAATGGCAGATCATCGCTCCCATCCGTGTCGCTGTCGTTGATGGTGATCTTTGTGGATGCCACGGACGCCCGTTGTTTTTTCGAGCCAGTTTCCTGCTTATCGTTGACAATTTCGGAGTCATCATCATCGCTTGAATTGTTGGCTCCATTTTTCGGATTTTCATCACTGTCGGAGCATGCGGCTGATTTCTTTTTGCTTATTTCCGAGAGCTCTGCTAATTTTTTTTTGCCCAGCTTAACCATTGCTCGTGTTGTTTTCCTTGAATTGTGATGTCGTAAAAAGAATGTTTGCACTTTTTGCCGCGAAAAAAAAACAACAATTATTTATATATCCACCGTCGCGACTGAGGCGACTGTACACTAGGGGTGAGATAACAGGCCATATACTCTTGACGATATTCCCAGCCGATATATGGTATTCATATACAATGTATGTATATGCAACAAAAATATATTCGGAGCTACAAGATAATTATATTAATTGGGTGAAACAATCTGATTGCACTAAATTATGAAAATATATTTTTAACAATATCGTCGAATTTGCAATCTGGTCATCGATAGTTAAAAACGGCTGCTAGGTATTTTTGTTCATATTACTACACTGCGTTTGTGTTTTTCATCGATAACGATACCTCTCAATATATCGAATCGCTCGGCACGTGTTGCCGCTGAACCCGAAACACAAACACATTTCTCATTTATCAATTTGCCCTACACAAAGTGGATATGGTTGAAGTTGATAATCCTCCGGCAGCTGGAGAAACAGGTCCACGTCTTAGCCGGCCAAACCCCTCTGATAACCGAAAAATGGCACACACAAAAACGGATTGGAATCAGTTCAAGCAGGATAGAAGGCAGCTCAGATTGCAACGCAAACGTCGCCGCGGATCCTATGATATCTGCTTGAAAGTGAAGCAAATGTATGAAGTGCTGAGATGGTAAGTATCCCGCCTCAGATTCCAACAGAGACAGTCGCGTAAAGACATTGATATTTCCATTGCCATTGCAGTCGTACCGCCACCGATAAGCACATATTGGTAGAGAAAATGTATGCAATATTGGATATCGACGACATGATATTGAAGATGATCGTGGCTCACGATTCCTCCCGAGTGGTTCAGTGTATGCTAAAGTATGCAACACCGGAGTTACGGGAGAAAATATCGAACAAATTAATTCCGAAAGCCGCGGAGCTGTGCCAGTCAAAATATGCACACTTCTGTATAAATCGAATGTTGAAGTATGGATCACCTAACACTAAGAAATCATTGGTCAAAGCTTTATACGGTAATGTGGTCCGTCTATGTGGTCATAAAATCGCTAGCAAGATCATGGATTACATATACTTGAATGGGAATTCGAAGGAGCGTCGCTATCTGCGCCAAGAGTTCTACGGAGATCTTTATAAATGGGCCAAGGATGACAAGGTGAAGTGCCTGAAAGACACATTTGACAACTCACCTAATATGAAAGCCTCCATAATTGGCGCTGTGAAAGCCAATCTGGAGCATATTGCCAATAAGGAGCTATTAGATAACTCTTTGGTGCACGCCGTTTTGCTCGAGTACATAACGGTCACCGACGAGGAGAAACTGGAGGAGACTGTCACCCCTCTGGCTGCTTACATACCGTATATGTTAACCACTAAGGATGGCGCCGAGGCGGCGATTTTATGTTTCTACAGCTCTACTTCGAAAACTCGTAGAGTAAGTCAAGAGTTGCACTACGAACGAATCTCCCTCACTCATACCAATCATCTCATTCCAATCTCTTAGGCTGTCATAAAGAATATCAAGGAACATTTGCTAAAGATCTCCATGCACGAGTATGGCCATACTTTTCTGATCGCCTTGTTAAATGCATTAGATGACACGAAGGCTATCAAAAAATCTATTTTTGATCCCTTGTATGGTGAACTGAAGACTTTGGTGTCAAATAACTACGGACGTCGTGTTGTCCAGTGGATGGTGGCCCCTGGCGATACATCCTGTTTCCATCCCAGCTTCATTGAGACCATTGAGTTGGGCTTGAAGTTCGGCAAGAAGGACAAAGCGACGCGTCGTCAAGAGATCTTGGATCAGGTGGAAGCTCCTATTTCTCTAGCTATGGCAGAGGATCCTGCCTTCTGGCTGTCCAACAATCATATTGGACTCGTCACTGCAAATATATTGAAGCATCGTAAGCACTGTATATTTTTCCCTGAATATTTTCGACAACAATTCTCTCTCTCTCTTTCTTCTCAGTTACTGGCGAGCATTATGAGAAAGCCGTCACAGCTTTGGCTCAGGTTATAGCTGATGTCAATTGGCGTATTGCCGACGTATCCGACGAGGGCGAGTTGATTAAGAAAAAGCCGCAGGATGTGGAGACTTACATATCCAATACAATAGAAGAGCGCAAGAATAAAAATAAAAATAAAAATAAGCTCAAKTCTGCTGCTCTTGCGCTGATCAGCTCGGATGAGGAGGCCGATGCCGAGGATAAGAAGAAGGAGGATGTAAATGATGAGGAGGATGACAAGGAAGAGGGGGATGAGGAGGAGGGCACTCCAGCCAAAAAACCGAAAAAGGCAGAGACCTTGGACGCCGTAAAAGAGACCTTGACAGTCGAAGAGGAGACCCCGGCCAAGGAAGAGGAGGCTGTCCCATCAGTTAATGGAATAGAGGATGCTGGCATGCATCATGTAATAAAGAAGATAATTCGTAGCGACCTGAAGCGCGAGTCTACTCCATTTGGCAACCAGTTATTCAATCATCTTAATACCGATGTGGTAATTGCATATTAATTCGAATTTTATGTTATCATTCAAATGCTAAATTACTTGTTATTTCGTTTACTTTAGCTTAAATTCTGGCTGGGTATTAATCGTGCTTGTTTCATTCTCGTCAAGCTAGTGGAGAATTCGCCAGATTTGCTCAACAAATGCCGCATTTTGTTTAAGGAGGAGAACCTGTCCCAAATTCTCGAGGATGCTCAATCATCAGGAGCTAAATTGTTGTTGAAAAAATTAAAGGAATAGATAGATAGATATATGATAACATATTCAATGGAGTAGCTTTAGTCAATGATAACAATTA